CTTGAGGAAAAAAAGAATTATAACATCCTCTCTCTTTCTAATAGGAAAAGTACAAATGTATTTTCTTAACTATTAGTATTTCTTTATTTTTGTGTGATAAAATTGATTATTTTAAATTATTTAACTATAATCTTATTAATAATTTATTATATGGTTTTGATATTTTTGTATAACTAATATCTGGTTTTAAACTTGATATGAAAATATTATGATATAACTAGATAAGATTTTAAATTAGTATTTTATTAATGGTTGATAATTAGAAAATAAAACAAGGATAAATACATTTTTTGAATTTTATATCTTAGATTTAAGATGAATAAATATATTAAGTTAATTAATAATTTATTTAAAATGTTAAAATTTAATTTATAAAAATAATATTTTAAAAGAGAAGGGTTATAATAACATCGGTGTAACTTTTACTAAGTATTACATCGCTCAATAACTTTATATTAAATGTGAATTTTATAAATTCAACCGTTAGATTGAAAGTTTTTTACTCTTAGATCATATATACAAAATCTTATATGAATTCAAGATGATTTGATACTTCATTCTTGTAAAACAAAATTGACGTAATATATACATTTCAAATAAAATATGAGCACTTTGATTACTTTCAAGTTGTTGTTCAATTTTAACAAAACTTGATATAAACATATAAAGTGATATGAACTTTCAATCTAACGGTTGGATTTACAAAATTCACATTTAATATAAAGTTATTGAGCGGTGTAATACTTAGTAAAAGTTATACCAGTGTTATTATAACCCTTCTCATTTTAAAATATATAAATTATTACTTAAACTTTTAAATTTATAATAAATAATTTAAATTGTATCATAAAATTAATTTTAAATAGAAATAAGTAGATTGTTAATTATAAAAGTAAGTATATATATAAATAAAGATTAATTAAATGTAATATAATAATTATTATTAGTAATATAATTATTATATATATTATTATATATTTATAACGGTCCAGATATACCAAAATGAGAAGGATCTAAAGATAGTATAAGTATGAGATTGGATAGTTGAGGATGACTTAAATGAATTAATTTGTACTACTTTTACTAACAATATGCATCTGCTTTTCAGTAGCTTGTCTCATCAGAACTTCACAGTTAAACGTGCTTTACTTGAAGTAATATAGGGATGGGTGACCTTCTGGAAAGTTTCTAGAAATTGTGTAATTAGTGACAAAACATGCTAAAAAGTTAAGTATTGTGAAATAGAATCCTTGAGAAACCAAATGTGAGTGGTTCATAGCAACCAAATTTGCGACGTCTATAAAATTTAATAAAATAAAAAATAAATATTTAGATTTATTCAGTCATTAATTTGGTCCCATACACTTCAGTGACCAAAATCATTGTAAACATTTTGCGACCGAAATTTTTTTTGTCGCTAAACAGCTTTGCGACTAGGGTTTTAGCGACTACTTAAATTTGGTCGCTAAGGTAAATAGCGACCAATTTTTGCAATTTAGTGACCGATTTTGGTGGTCGCAAAATGCCATATTTTTTGTAGTGGTCTCTAATGCTCAATCTTCGCTTTTTGACAAGTCAGACAAGCAGCCACAAACTCTGCTATCTCCCTCTTCATACCAGGCCACCAAAAACTTTTCTTGATGTCCTGATACTTCTTAGTCATACTGGGATGTATGCTAAGACGACTCATGTACCAGAAAATTATTATTTGTTGGGGGTATTATAACGTAGTAAGTTATTGTTTAAAGTTTAGTTAACGCTAGAGATAAAAGTATATAAGACTTTGTCTGAGAATGAAACCTCATAAAGTCATTTTCAAAGGAATTCTAGATAGAAGTTTTAGAGAGAAAGGCTCTAGGTCTGTGAGCTCCCAAATTACTCTATTTGATTCTTCTTCTTCTCTAGATTACTAATCTCTTCTGTCTCTTCTTAGAATTCAGGCTAGTAAGCTTATTTTTGGAGGATTGAAGTCCACGGGTCGAGCTTCTGGGAAAATTCTTCTTCTTCTCATTTCTTGGTTGTACTAAGCCAATTCTTCAAGTGAGGGAAGCTATAATGTAAGTTGTTTGGTTGCATGTGAGTTTAGGAACTCAATTGGTACATGAGTTTCGGGCACAATGGGAATTTTGGTGATTTTGATGCATCGGATAGGTGCATGTTGAATATGAGATTTGTTCTTGAATTGTATGGAGTCTATGTATTATTTTCACGGATTGCATGTGGTTGGGATCTTCTGATTTTCAAGTTTTGGATGGAATTCCTGGGTTTTAGAGGTTGTAGTTTGAATTTGCGTCGGGCGCATGTTCTTGGCACCGGGCGTACATTCATCAGAGGCAGCAATTTCCTAATCACTCCCGGCGAAAGATTAGTCGCGTCAAGTGCGATTTGAGATGGGATCCTATGGATGAGTCATGCCATCCATGAGGAGAGCCACGCTGGGCGTGATATCAGATAGTGGATCTGAATAGTATTTTTACAAATATGGCGCTAGGCGTAGGGTAGGTGCGCCGGGCGTGGAGGCCCTTGGAAGTCTTTGTCTAAATGATGCTAGGCATGATAATTCTACGCCGGGCGTGGGAGAGCCTTAGAGCTCTCAGGTTGGGTTTAGGCCGGGCGCGAGTTGACTTATGTCGAGCATGCGTGTGGTTGGTATTATGATTGAAAATGATGCTTTTGCATGTTTAAAGTTGAAGTTTGATCATGTATGTATGATATATGATGTGTAGTGATGCATGATTCATATGTATGATTAGTAATTATATATATGAATGTTTAAACATGACATGATATGTATGTATGTTTACATGAGGATGATATTGATCATAGTGGTAGCTTGACCATGTATGATGTATGATGCATTGTTGCATGTGATGCTTTATGGCATGTGTCTAGCCTAGGACTTGAGGAGAGGGAAAATGTTTTCGAACCGGAAGAGCTGACATAGAGTCTCTTGAGAGTGGTGCTCGGATAGACCACTGATTTAGATGAGAGTGGTTCTTGGATAGGCCACTGTTTTTGGGTGAGAGTGGTGCTTGGATAGGCCACTGGTTTAGGTGAGTCTCCTCTAAGTCCTTAACTAGCGTTGGAGCGGGGTATGAGGTTGAGGGTTATAACCTTAACCAAGTACTGGGGAAGGTGCGTGGTTCCTTGCGGATAGTCGGTGGGCAAACTCCACAAGTGACTTGGTAATGCATGTCAAGGTCGTGGTAAGCCTTTACCCAGCTATGTTATACCTAACTGTGGAACACTACTAAAAAAATTAAAATTTGTGACGATATAAAATGTCGTCATTAATAGTGACGACTTTTGTGACGAAAATTTTATTTTTGTGACGGGCTACTTATTTTTAGAGTTTGTGACGGATTTTGTGACGGAAAATTTTCCGTCTCTAACAATTCCGTCACAAACGGGTCACTAATAAAAAAAAAATTGCGACAGATTTAGTGATTTCTTGTTTGCAAGTTATTATGCTGCTGTAGCTAATTATTGTCACTTTTTTAATTTTTTTTTTTGTTTGTATAATGCTGTTTGTTGCTTCAAACGGGTGTTTATAATTAGGTAGTATTTAGTACTTTGTTAGTGCTGATTGCTATATCCTCCCTTGAGGTCTGTCAAAATAACACTGACCTCCCTTCTATTTTATTAATTGACACCCACCTTCCTTATTTTATAATTTGGCTTTCACATACCACCCCTTCCATAACATCAGTTAACTTACACGTTAAAACTCACTTTTTTGTTTTTACTATTTGAACCTTTTCTTGCTGCTGAAAAATGCGTTGGGCCATTAGTGCCATATTTGTGCTCTTGGCTTCATAGTAGCCATAGTGCCATAATGAAGATATAAAGGAATGCCATTTGCTAGACTGCACAAAGGCATGAGTGATTAATATCATCATTGATATTGATTATCCACAACTAAGTTCAAGAAACTTAAATAACTTAATAGATGTATCAATTAAGGATGTACTTTTCAGTCCCAGCAGTATGTTTCTTTGTAAATTATCAGAACCACCAAAAGAGCAACCTGTAATGCTTATTCTTACATGCACATTCACGTGAGAATTTCTCATCACAGGTAAAACACAACCCCCTCCTCAATCTTTCTTGATATTTGACCTCTGGTAGCAGCCAGATTTTTTTATCATTGTTCTCCTGAATACCCTCTGCTCTTTTAATTATGGATCCAGTTGCAGGATGTGTTTTAGGGATGAAAATAGGACAGATCTTAATAGGAGTTTATGACCTGGCATGCTTAAAGTCTAGTCTGGCCTGAGTTATTAATAAAAAAGTCAAGTTTAAGCTTAAAAAAAAAAGGCTATTTATTTAAAAAAGACGGGCTTAGACTTACAAAAAAAAGTCTATTAGACCTAATAGGACAGCTTATTTATCTATATAATACAATAAAAAATATACATATTACATTATTAACAATATAATTAAATAAATTTGTAAAACAAAAAATCAAATTATCAATATTTTTTACATTTCTTCTACATTTAAAAGTTTCACATTCCTTGTTCTTGCGAAATCAAGAAATTGAAAATAGAAACTCTAACAACCACATATTCGGACGAAATCAAAAAGTTTTACATCTCCACTACTATTTGTGGATAATATTTCTCTTTGATTCTTGCTGCTATAGCAACTTAGCAGTGACAAAAATAATGGTAAAATATTGAATCTGCCATTTGTATAGATGTGCAGTGTTATTGTCTTCTGCATATAAAATTGTATTCAATATTTTTTTAATTATGTTATTTTGACAATTTGTACATTAGTTTTATATTCTTCTTTTAAAATCTAAATTTTAATAATAATGTAATAAACCATTTTTAGATAGTAGTTTTTCTCAATAAAAGCATGATTAGATAATGTAATCTATGTGAAATATTATATTAATAAAAGTTATTTTTCATGTCTAAGCAAAGACACTATTATAGTATGTCAGAACCATACCTTAATAATATAATACTTGGCACTTACACACTTCTAGGCAAACATGGATACATCATACCTACAATAAACCATTTACCTTCAGATTTCTGACTTGGTGAGGACAACCAGCTGGAATAAAAACAGCATCTCCTACCTTCTGAATAAAAGTCCAGGGCTCAATTCCTACAAGAAAATACAGAACTGTCAATGTTGCGACACAAGTTGAACCCATCCCCATATCAAAATATGAAAAATTATGTGCTACTAACCATACTCCTCCTTAAGCTTCCTCTTATGCTCCATAGTCAGATAGAATGTCTGGTCATGGATGGGGTGAATAACCTACATTACCAAAAGAGATGGCCCAGTTAAGAAAAAATAAAACCTAATGGGGGACTCTCAGACTGACTGCTTATCTATATATAATATAAAAGGTATCATCTGCCAGAACAAAACTTCAAAATTGCCAAAGTCAAGTAATTAAAACAAAACATTTATTTGGAAAACTAATGAGCATTTTAGACTGTTAATTACACTATAATGTCATTCCTGACCTTTGTTTAAAGGGAACAAATTGCATGACATTTATTGTCATCTTAATGAAAAGCCCATCATCCGTAATAAACATAAACAAAAATAATTTGTTTTTATTTTCAAATTCACAACTATTTATTATTTGATCATTCACTCAATCCTCTGGTACATGTATATTAAATGAAATTTTTATCATAAGAAAATAAGGGTATGGGAGAACGTCAGTGTTATAAGGGTGCAAAGCTCCAAAGTTTAACCAATGGTAAAAGTATCTGGTAGGACCCAAGCTTATAAATGACTAAAGTTGACAAGAAGCATTCAGATAAATAACTGAAAATCATTTTTCTAATTTACCTGCTTTAAAGGACAATAATAGACATGCCTGAACTCTCTGAAATGCTTCTTCAGATATTCTTGCAATTTAGGTACATCCTGCATCCGAAAAATATCCCAGAGAGCACCTTCAGAAGCATCCCCTCCAAACAAGTCATTTTCTTGTTTTATTTTTACTTTGTCAGCCCCCTTGAGCTCTGATCCACATGAAAGAGTATCCTCATTATCAATGGCAACCTCATTACTACCAGAGGGTTGATGAAACTGATCAACTTCTTTCCCATCACATAATCCACCTTCATGTTCCATAACTTGAACACTATTTTGCTTGTCCAGAACATTTATGATAGAAGATGAATTATTAAGCATGTCAAAATTAGTTTCTCCATCCTGATCATCACCATGTAGCTCCCTTTTGTCTTGCTCAAAGTGCTTTTGTTTCAAACTCTCAATTGCAGCAAGTTTATTAGAATCCAATTCCACTTCAGCAATATGAGTCAACACATTTACCTAAAACAGTCAAATTTTAAGAATATATATATATATATAGACATACACACACACACACTTCAATTCCTTCATTGATGAACATCCACTCAGGACCACATACAGCAATAAATACAAAACACTAACAAATATATGATCAGGAAAAGCTATGCAACTTATGAATTGAAGACAATGCACAGAACAGAAAAACTGACATGGAATTGAAGCCACAATCTACTCGTAAGAATCAGAGCAGAGAAATGCAATGGGTTACCAAAGACAAAATTTATACATCCTATGAACTATGCACATTCCAATGTGAATCTCTTTTTAAAAATAACAGCCTAAAAAGTCCAAATAATTCAGAAGAAATCCTTGAAAATAACAGGCCAGGAAAGAAATAAGCAAATAGAGCATACTGCATCCGACATATCACAGTGGAGCTTAGTCACTGAATCACCACGCCCAAGCTCCTGAGGATATCCATAAGCAATATATGTCTTAGGCCCCATGTCTGGCTTTAGACAATCATTTGGCAACTTCACAGCAAGGTTAAGAGCACCTCTGAGAGGATCAGTATATTCCTTGAAGGGCAAGTTACATAAGAACTCAGCACAATGACGAGGCAATTGTTCCTCAAATAAATTAGAAGGAGGCCAATCTTTTAATTTCAATATCTGGGGCCAACCAAGCCAATCCATGCGACCTGCTGTATAGCCAGTAAAGAATTGGTGGATATTAATTTCCCCCTGCGATTAACCAACAACTCATATAAAAAATGAAGAAATCAGAAGCAACAGAATAAGGAAGTCAAGCAAAAGCAGTAAAGAATTACTGAATCCAAGTGTGTAAGGGACATCATTCGAGTAAACCCAATTGGGAATTTATGTCCTGGTTTGTTGTGACCGAGCCGGCACATTAGGCGTGAAAAGGGTTGGAGTGGTTTCGGTAGGATGAGATGTCACTTATACTGCTTTTTAGTTAGGGAGATCTCCTAGGTGAATGTGTGACGACGCATTAGATGATTGATATGCATTGATATCTGTCATGAGTTGCATTTACTGCATGAGTAGTGTATGATAAAGTGTATGGTCCGACTCTTTGAGAATGATTGGTGATTTGATAATGGTGTAGCACAGATGTTTATTTGTATGCTTACATGATTGATTTTTGAACTCTAGCTTACCCTTCTATTTCCATGTGAATGGACTGCGATGATCATACTATGTATGGGTGCCTATCAGGGGTAGGTTGGAGCTAATTGTTGTGACTGCTGCGGGGTGTGGAGTTTTGTTTTAGTGTTAGAGTTACCATCTTGGGTAATTGTTGGATTGTGCTTGACTAACACTAGGGCAGTATTATTTTGGATGACTGTATATACATAGTACTGTATTTTGTATATAAATATTTGATTTTTTTTTATCACTTCCTTTATATGTATATTCCGTAGTATAGTTAGCATGATTTCTCTAAGTGTAGGGACCATGACGGGTCCTTACAACTCCCAGAGATGGGAATAAGTCAAGGCAAGACAAGCTTTGAATATATAGGTCAGGCTTGTTTTGTCAAATTAAAGTCTAAGTCTAACCTATTATCTATCATAGCTTTTTTTATAAGTCTTTCCTGACTTTTTTGAAAGCCTAATCTAACCTATTGACCTATTTAAATTTTAATGTTAATTAGGTAAATAAACTTAATTTTTTAAAATAAAAAAATCATATTTAAAATATAGTTTACTCAATATTATTACAATTTAAATTTTAAAATAAATATATGAGAAAAATTGAATCTTGAAAGAACCATTGATGTGTAATCATATATGTTGATGTATACTCATGCCCAAATCACCGCGCGAACGGGGAAAACGGCGTCGTCTTCACCGTCGCCACTGCTATTGGTGATTGTTTTCAGAAGATTTAAAGGACCTTCGCTCCTGGAGCAGTGCGTCTCGTCGGAGCAGGCAAATCGCAACCCCGGTATAGCGTCGTCCACTGCAGCGATTGAATGGACCGTCGTTGCTCCTCCAAGGACCGTCGTTGCTCCTCCAAGGACCGTCGCTCCTGGTGTGCGTTTCGTCAGAGCAGAAAATCGCAACCCTAAAATTCCGCAGGCAACCCCTAAGAAAGTTTGGCAAAGCGTTTCGTCTCATGTCTTCAGCAACCCCTAATACAATGCAGTTTAAACGCTGCGTTTTTTTTGTTTTAGTTATCTACGGAATTTTTTCCGTACGGAAAAAATTCCGTAGATAACACTCTGTAGATAACTAAAAATTACCTATAGAAAAAATTCCGTAGGTAATATTCCGTAGATAACTAAAAATTACCTACGGAAAAAATTTCGTAGGTAATAATAACATTTTTTCTTGTAGTGCTAGGTAGAGAGAATCATATTTTAACATAAATTAGACTTAACGAAAATAATAATTACAACGAAAATAAAAAATTAAACTATTCAAAGTAAATAGCAAGAATAAAATCCTAATTAGTCCTAACTAATTCCCCAGTGTCACATGTCCTATCAGAGCAAAATCCAACATTTAGTCCCATCACCGACATCCTCAGCACCAAGTTGATGATTACTTGCAAAAATCACAAGAAGACAACATAAAAGAAAAAGAGACTAAAAAACATCTCATTCTAGCTCACGGTGCAAGAATGCAAATCGGCTAGCCAAACACAAACAACACATATCATGATATAGCATATACAGTTACACATCATTATAATTAATTCATTCATAGCATAGTAAGCAACAATAAATAAGATTATAATGCATAAGCAATGGACACGAGCTGCATGTTATCATGCACGTGGCATCAATAAATTTATCACATATCACACTTGTGCATTGCCTCTAGCAACAGACTAGTCTAGGAGAACATGTCGAGTCACAACCTCTGCGCATTCTCACTAGAAGGACATACTACTAGGGTCTGGTCGAGGTAGCTAAGTTGCACAAGATACATCCCACACTCACGAGGATAGGCTTCGGACTTCTAAACCAAGTTATCCCCAAGGTTGGATCCCAAGCTTTTACACAAGGGACCTTTCCTGGTAGTATATTCCATATCATACCCTTAAAAAGAAAAACAAATTGATATAGGCCCAAATAAGTGGAAACCAGATTTGGCCCAATATTAGGGGTTAATGGGAACCCTAATAGGCTTAAAATCATAAAGATGGTCATGGTCCCCAATATGCCAAATCAGAAACACACGTCTCTTTGTCTCCCCATCAGAAGAGTAACATCAAGTCCCATCAAGGAATCCAGTGACTTGGCTAAGGAAGATCATTGCACCAAAAGACTATTCCGCTGCAACCTTTTGATCAACGTTAATGGATACAGGTACGTGTTATTAACATTAACTCTGTAATCTGAGACAACAGTTCTTAATATTGATTAATGGATAATTTCTATTTGGCTTAAAGAAATTTATCCCAACAAGTGGTATCATAGCCGCCGTTGTCATTAGGTTATGGGGTTCTAAAGCATATTATTACAATTCTTTTTCTTTCTTCATTGACAATACGTGTATTTGAATGCATTGGTCTTTTTTTTGCTTCAATTTGGTTTAATTGATTGTATGGATAAGGAGATCGATTAAAAATTGATTTTTTATTAATGGGAATTTTTTTTTGTATTGTGAAATTGTATAATTTTCTGTGAATGTTATAAATTTGTATATGTAACAATTTTGCAATGATCCGGAAGACATTGTCAAATGAAGAAATTTTTGAGTTTTTTAATTTTCTCATCGGAAGTGAGATAATTGTGTAACAATGCAATAACGGAATATTTTCTCACCAGAAGTGAGTTAATTGTGCAACAATGCAATAAAGAAATATTTTCTCACCAGAAGTGAGTTAATTGTGCAGCAATGAAATAAAAGAATATTTTTCTCACTGGAAGTGGGAAAATAATATGAAAAGTGAAAAGGAAAAAGATTGATAAAGACACAAATACAATATAAATATTATGTTTGATCCTTTGTGTACCACCAGAAGTGGATTTTTTTTTTGTCAAAATCATTATTTTAATATTAAATGATATTTGGGAAAATTATATGATCAATATATTAAATTCCACATTATCGAAATTTTAATGGCATTCGCGTAAGAATTATTTTCTTGAAATTTGATTGATATTATGTTCAAATTTAAATTGATTTTTTTTATATATCAAATTTGAGTACGAATGTTGGCAGATTATAGACCCTCTTTATTAATTAATTTTTCTGGTAATTTTTTAATTAAATAAATTGATGTAATATATATTGCCAAAGCAATCCCTATTATAGAAATTAATTTGATTAAAATTACAATAGATGTTAGTTGAGATTATTTATGCAATTTGTGCTCATCCCAAAGGAAGACACAATTTGGCCAAATAATAACATGTCTGTGATGATAAATATGTGACAATTATAAAGTTACAATGATGTGAATAATAATCGATCCAAAGAAAGACTATTATTTGACAGAATTCATTGTTAATATTTGATCGTTGCATTGAGAGTACCACTAACAAGTTAATTTGTATGTCCAAAGACAAAGAATTAATGTTGTGCTCGGTATCTTGTAACGGGTCTATTATGTAAATAATCTGCATGTTTTATTTATTTTATTTTACTTTGTCAGCATGTAACTAAATTAAATTTTTTTTTATCTATTTTCTATTACAATTGTTGTTGCTAGTGCTGTTAACTTATCTGCTCAAATTAATTGTATACCCATGCTTAATGGGACAAACTTTAAGGCCTGAAAGGAAGTAGTTGAGATAATTCTTGGCTGCATGGATCTTGATCTTGCACTTCAGGCTGAGAAACCCACTCCAACTCCGAAAAACCCGGATGAGGATAAGGTTGAAAAGTGGGAAAGCTTAAACCGAATGTGTTTGATAATCATGAAGCGATCTATTCTAGAAGTTTTTCAGGGCTCTATTTTTGAGAGCCAATATGCTAAAGGTTTTCTTGATGTTGTTGAGTAGTATTTCACCACTAATGAAAAAGATGATGCAAGCAGTTTGCTTGCTAAACTTATCTCTATGAGATACAAAGGTAAAGGAAACATAAGGGAGTACATTATGGAAATGTCTAATCTCGCGTCAAATCTAAAAGCACTAAAGTTAGAGCTGTCTGATGACTTGCTCGTGAATCTAGTTTTGATTTCCCTTACTACACACTTTGGACAATTCAAGGTGAGTTATAATACTCAGAAAGATAAATGGACCTTGAATGAATTGATTTCTCACTGTGTGCAAGAGGAGGAAAGTCAGCAAAGAGAAAAGACTGAAAGTGCTCATTTAGCGTCAAGCTCTCAGAATAAGAAGAAAAAGAATAATAAGGATGTTGTAGAAAGGACTTCTCAACTAAAGAAAGTCAAAAAGGATGAGAACACACCTACTTGCTTCTTCTGCAAGAAGCCTGGGCACATGAAGAAAGAGTGTCCCAAGTACGCCTCTTGGCGTGTAAAGAAAGGTAATTTTCTCTCTTTTGTTTGTTCTAAAGTTAATTTAGCTTTTGTACCACATGATACTTGGTGGGTAGATTCTGGTGCTACTACTCACATTAGTGTGTCCATGTAGGGTAGTCTTTGGAGCCGACCGCCAAGTGATAATGAAAGATTTATCTATGTGGGTGATGGCAACAAGGTCACAGTGGAGGCTATTGGAACATTTCGATTATTGTTAAAAAATGGATTTCATTTGGATTTATTTGAGACTTTTTTTTGTACTGTCTTTTAGGAGGAATTTAGTTTCTATTTCTAGTTT